TTTAAAACAATTGAATGTACTAAACACCCTTTGTGTGTGTTTATTAATGTGATATGTGGAAGTGCATTTCAGTCTTTTAAAAAATAAAATAAAAGCTTTTTTGGTACCACTCTGTAAGCCATGTCTGACCATATCTTACTGATAATCAATGACAGCTGAGTTCAAAAGTTAAGACAGTCAGACCTCATGAACCTCCAAGTGGAGCATCTTGTACCACCTAGGAAGATGTGAAACACACACACACACACACACACACACACACACACACACACACACACACACACACACACAATTTTAATCTACTCACATCCCTAGATCTAAATATCAATTTCTGGAAACAACAAAACAGAGATGAAACCATCACAAGCCAGACAATTAGAAACTAATGGACAAACAAACTTGTCTTCTTTAGCAAACAGACTGCACAGAAGGAGGACCTATGAAGGAGAAAGTGATAGACTCAGAGAAATTTGAAACATGTTAACCCATTGGTGTGTATGCACCTTATCTGGATCCAGATTCACATCAACAAATCCCATGCAAAAGAAGGTTATTAGAGGAAAGTGAACACAGAACAGAGGCTTAATTTCTTAAGTACTCACTGCAACTTCGTATGCATGTGGTAATGGTACTTTAAGATACATATTAAATAATTATGGGTGAAATTATATACTATCTAGGATTTTGTTTAAGATAAAACAGAGCAGGAATGTGAAGGGACATAATGTCAACAAATTAGCCATAGGCTGAGAATTGATAAAATGGGTGGCAGGAACACAGGGATTTTTATTTATATTATTCATGCTTTTACCTACATTTGAAATAATCTATAATTAAGGATTTATAAAAATCTTTTTGAGAAAATTCATCTCAAGTGTCACAAGTTCCAAGTATGATAAAAATGTTTTCAAATTTAAATATTCAGAAAGTTTCTGCTATTTCTCAACTATGGACCAACCCAGATGAGTGCTAAAAACTCTGTCCTTTGCATACCCTGAACAGGAGCTATGAATGAAATGCCCTATGTAAGAGTGTATGAAAAGCAACTTTCTAGAAATTTTTACCCGTCATTCAAGATAAAAATGCCTCTTTGGAGTATTAAAGGGCTCATTAAGAATTTATTAAATACCTACCATGAGACAAGTAGTCAATGGCATACTCATTTTTAAGTAAATGCCAATGTTTCCTCTATCAGAGTCATCTATTAATATACAAAATTCATAACTTCAAGTATTACTTGTAAAGTATACAAATAAGAATGTATACATTCAAAAATAAATAACATAAAAAGAATGTACACATTCAAAGTAAGGAGTGTTTGTGCACATGTTTGAAGCAGATATATAAGAATTCACTGCATACAATGCTCTATCTATATTAGGATTCAGATTTTAGCCATAATGACAAAGAAAACTTTCATCATAATGTCTGGTAGCACTTAAAGAATATCTATGTTATCACTGTAATCTCTAAAAATTACCAATACAGCACAAAGATTAGGATTTAACTTAGCCCCAGAGTCATGTAATTAAGCAATCATTGCAGAAAAATGGATTGCCATTTACAAAGATTATTAAGTAGGCTGATCAAAAGACTCTCATTAAGTACATTTTGGGTCATAACAAAAAAGCTATATGTTGTTTGTACACTAACAATATTTTGTATCTCTCAACTATAGGACAAAAGCAAACATGCATTTACTGTAATTATAGGTGATTTAATCACTGGGGGAAGCTGGTGAAGTATACATGTGTCCTCCCCATACAGTTACTGTTTATTTTTACAACTTCCTATGAATCTTACTTATTTCAAAACAAAAAGAGGTGTTTTTTGAAAAATTAAAATATATCTAAACTCCTAATACTATTTTCTGGTGAATAGGATAGGGAGAGAATAAACAGACCATTCTAAAATCAAAGGTCCTATTTGGATAATTCCCATCAATATATATAATCTCTGCACCAATGTGGTCTTGTTAGATATACACTTTAGCATAATTCTATGGTGAAGCAAATCATTATTATAGACAAGTACTGAAAACACTACCACAACACAGAGAGATGCTACTTCTCTCTTTCAGGACATGGTTTCAATTCACAAACCAACAAGGTCATGATTCTCACATCTACTCTTCTATGAAGCCCTTTTTGACCACTACAACCACATCACCATGGGATTAGTATTGTAGTATAGAACATTTGTTTAACTATATAAAGATGTATTGCATTTCTTTACATAAAGATATGTTGCTTTTGTTTATGCTACATTTGTTTAACTATGTAAAGATGTGTTGCTGCTTTACATTGCCTGCCTAAGGCACCTGATTGGTCTAATAAAAAGCTGGATAGCCAATAGCTAGGCAGAGGAGGGATAGGCAGGGCTGGTGGGCAAAGAGAAAGGGGAGACCAGCCAGAGGCCAGCCAACCAAACATGGAGGAAGCAGGATGGACACTATGTAGACAGGGTAAATGAGCCTTGGGGCAGCACATAAATTAATAGAAATGGATTAATTTAAGTTTTTTATAAAAGGCTAGCTAGAAACAAGCCCAAGCTAAGACCAAGCATTCATAATTAATAATAAGTCTCTATGTCATGATTTGGGAGCTGGTTGATGGCCCAAAGAAAATGCCAACTATAGACTGGCCTCTCTGCCTTTGTGCCCCACTCTTCCTTTAATGGCAGCTCCTGGGGAACTTTCCTGAGTTTCTGGGAATATGTGTGTCCCCTTTCTGCAAGGTGAGTTGACTGTGGACAAGGTTCTTATTTGCATCTCATTTGTCTCTGACTCTTCAAGGCATTGACAAACATCTTAGTAACTACAGAAGCTCAACAGAGATTTAATTAATGAAGAATAGAAGGAAATAAGGGAGAAGACAAAAAGGATGGATGTATACAGACAGGCAGTTAGAGATATGGGATCTGTTTATCTTAACTATATAGATAGGGGGATTGCAGCATTGTTTTGTTTTTATCAGAATCATCCATCCTTGTTAGAATTACATGCTTCTCCAGGGACCTCAAATCCTTCAGCAATAAACAGCTGGACTGAACATGGCCACAGAAACTACTAGACTTATCTTGTTCTGAAACAGAAGGCTAGTAATTGAGTTGGTGCTGCAGGTAGGTAAAAGCCAAATGTTTGAGAAGACCATTCCACTCAGTCAAAACCTCCGTTACCAGGAATTCCAGCACTACATATTTTGAGTAGAGTCTGCCACAGTTACCTTTCCATGGTAATAACCTGGGATATATTTCTTTCAATAGTTCCAAAAACTTTTGGATGTATTCCCTGAAACTCTTCATTTCTGAGAATATATAGCTAAGATGGTAGGATGCCAAGAGGTAAAGACTTACCCAGTGAGACTGTCTCCCAAATCTCCATCTCTGCATCAGTAAAGGAATTACAAGGTAATTTTTAAATGCAGACATGATGTTATGGTGGCCTTGGTAGCAAAGAGGAAAACAAATAGCTAAACACTAACTGGTCATGTCCCAAATCTATCTTAACACTGAGAGCTATCATTTACTGAGGACCTTCCTATGTGAGGTGGCTTGCATATGATACTGCTGTTGGAACTGAGATTTCACTTCCTCATGGAAACAGTTATAATAACCCAATTTTCCCTCCTCCCCTGCAAAAGCACATTTAATCCACAATGGTTCAGAGATACAGTTTTGTTAATGCGGGACCTAGTAATGAGGTATACTATTCTAATGTACAAAAGAAGATTCCAGAGCAGCCAAAACTCTACTGTGGATTGGGGGGAAGGGGCAAAAGAAACTCTCACTGCTCTACTCATTTAGCTGGCCACAGTAGTGGAAAACCACATGGCCCAGTTCACAGGTGAAAGGAGTTCCCAAATACTTCACTTGTTCCAAACATCCCTACCAATCCTTCATATCCTAGACTCAAGCAGAGAATGGAATTTGGAGCAGGAGTATTCTCAAGCTTTGGAAGTGGAAGGAAGGGGTCCTGCTGCAGCCAGCCATTGAGTCAACCAACCAATACAGTTTCTTCTATGTTTGGTAGGCTCTATGACTGAGAGCCATTGGTGAGACACCAAGAAAAAAATGTTACCTAAGTACTTTTCTAGAAATGGCTTCAACTTCCAAATCAAAACTTTGGTTGGATAAAGGGATACCAAGACAAATAGAAGAATATTATCTAAATTAAAATTTTCAAAATGGAAAGTGCAATATTTAAGAATTGTTTTGGTAAGACTGGATTGTCCTCCTCTTGTCAGAAAGGAAAGACAGCAAGTAGCATCACACCACTATGACACAGCTGAGTCTCCTACAACATTCATGCCCATGACCTTGGCTCAACATGGCACAAGATAAACACAGACACACACATGAGAAGTTGGGTTAGTGACTGGGAGAACAAAGCTTCCCGGTCCTGACCTTTTGCTCCATGAGCTGGAAAGGGTAGCAGAGAAGCTGGAGAGAAACCTTCAGGCCCTGGAGAAAAACAGACCTGAAGTTTGTTCTCACCATTCCAAACGGGACCACTTCCTTATCCAAGGTGAGGCCTAGCCTCTTAACTAGCTTGTCATATATTCAATGGAATTGGCATGCATTTATCTTGTACACAGTACCTGCCACTAATAATTTTGTTATTTTCCCCCCAAGTTCATCAGAAGCCACTAGGGAATACTGATCATCTCAGTGGGTTCATTCAAAAGATAATTACAAACTCAATGGAAAATGACATTCTAAAGGTATAAAGAGGTACAGCAACATGTGCTACCCATGAGCCGGTACTACCATGGCTAAGGGCTGGCATTCACTTATCTAGAGATACAGAGAATATATAATTATAGGTCATATCTATACAGTGATAAACTTACTAAATCACAGTGGGCAAAGCACTCTAGTCAACAAAATACCCACAAGTTTTTGCCACAGGCCATTGACATAGAACAATGATACATAAGGGAGGCTAGGACAGAGCCCACTGGTCTCCTGCCTTTTCTGTTCAGTATGGTAGACTTCCTTACTTGACTTGGATAGCTGCTCATCCTGGGAAATGCCAAGATCATCCGACTCCCCCGACAGCTCCTTGATGAAGTTGGAAGGAAACATTCCAGTCTTTCCATTGAGTACACCTTCCCACCATCCTTCTTCTACCTACATAGAGGCAAAGAGAACAGAGGTATGAGACCAAGTTAAACATGACTTCTATTTACATGTTAGAACTCACACAGAAGAGAAGCCCAAAGCTTCAGAATTACCAGAGAAACAGGAAGTAGGTCACATGGTCTTATGATTCAGACAGGTAAGGGAGATAACCTGCAACCCAACACAAGTAGGCAAAATGTAACACATCATTTGTGTCAACTTCTAACTGAAATTTGGCATTTCCTTTGGTTATGAAAGTGGGTAACATACCAATATTAGAAGAACCTGTGATTCATCACAAAGTAAATCATGAATATTTCCTATCACATCATAGATGCTGTGAGTACCTCAAAATATTATTTGTGCTACTTTGAAATGGTATAAATTATGCCTGCTGGGTGGCATTTGTTATTTAATATATTAAGAAGGTACCACATAGATTACTTTTATTTGATGTGCACTTCACTATAATTAACTTTGTAATTTTGTTTTTGTTTTATGAAAACCACTATTTGAAAAAAAACACCTGTAAATACAACCAATAATGATGGCACACATCTGTAATTCCAGCACTCAGAAGATACAGTAAGGATGATAAATAGTACTGTGAGGCTGGCCTGGCTTACACAGCTAGATCAAATGGCTAGAAATTTGGCTCCTTAGGCAAGTACTTTCCTAGTATTACCACCAGTAGCACAAACAAACAACAGAAAGGAGGAGGAAAAAGAGGATGAGGGATGAGGGATAGGAAGGAAGATGAAGAAGAGAAGAGAGGGAGGGAAGAAGAGAGGGAAAGTTCTTAAGATAACCAAAACCAGACAATTGACAGAAAAGTCCATTTTCAATTAAATAAAAAAATATAAAGGGGGAACCAGCATAAGACTGAACCAAGCCCTCTGAATGTGGGTGTAAATAGGGGAGCCTGGGGCCTCTGGTGGTGGAATCAGTGCATGAAAGGGCTTTGGGAGCCCATTCCCTATGGAGGGAAACTCTCTCAGCCTAGATACACAGGGGAGGGCCTAGGCCCTGCTCCCAATGATGTGACAGACTTTGATGAAGGGAAGCCTCACCCTCCCTGAAGAGTGGATGGAGGGTGGGATGGGGGGATAGAGGGGAATGGGAGGACAGGAGGGAGAGGGAACTGAGATTAGTATATAAAATAAGACTGTTTTAAATTTAAATAAAAATTCATTTTAAAAAATTAAATAAAAACACAGTTCTGAGCTAAGGGCCCAGAAGGTAGATTTCCTGTGGGTTTCTCCTGGAAATGTGGAGGAAGCACTGGAGTATCAGCGGGCAGTAAAGCTTCTGAATAGATGTGGGAGATGGACCAGAAAAGCAGTGAAAACTGACAAGACAGGTTCTTAGTCTTGGGCCACTAGATGGGGGAAGTGAAAGAAAAATTTTCTGAAGTATTTGAGATGGATCCACTAACAGCAAAGTAGATCTCTGAATATTTAGTTGGATTCTTGGAAGAAAAATAAGGTTATTTTGAGAACAAGCAAGTATTAAGTTACCAATAAGATGTGGGATGGTAGAAAAAGAAGCTAGAGCCTTCAGAATTTTTCTATATGTATATATTACCAGTGCAAGACAAATATAATTTAAAAACTTAAATAATTCAAACAGACAAAAAATTAAAACTCAAAGCTCAGTTCAAATTCTATCCTAAAACTTAGCAGTTTTATGAACTCATTCCCTTTTCTCCTGCCAAAATAAATCCTCCTTCCCCATCTGCCTCACAAAGCTGAGTAACACATCTCAAGTGACATATTAAGCATGACCTTTGTCTCTGTTAGAGGTATATGCATTATGGTTCTATGCTAGGATCTGGGCATGAGGAACTATGTATGATAAGTACCTATTTTGCCAACAAAGGTGACAATCTACCAAAATAGGAAGGTGTGACTAAAGACTAAGGCTAGCAACACAAGACAAATAGATGAGAAAAAGACCATGACTTAGGACAAATCAAATTTGTTACATAAAGTTGAGCTCACTTAGGTCCGGGATGGTAAAAGACAAATTTGAGAAAAGATAAATCAAAATAAAATTAGGCCCTTAAGAAATTAGAAACAGTAGCTATGACAAGGGGAGATACATTTGGCACACTCCAGAAAGGGGAAAGAAACTAATGAAGGCCAGGGAATGGAAACAACCAAATCAATACATTTAGAACACTCATTAGAGAACCCATAGGATACAGATTTGTGGAGTAGTGGTTACATTTGCATGGCCACAAAATCCTAAGGGAAGAATGCACACAACAGCATCCATGTATGACTGTCCTTATGATTATTCAGTATCAGTTCACTGTATTTAGCATCATTTCCATTGACTAGCATTTCCCTGTTTCTATGCCAACTCAATTGATGTGTATTATTCCTTTAAGAGGGTTCTGATAGGATTAAGATAGTTGGAAGGATTCACTGTGAGTCTGCATATCAATAGTGAGAGGATTTGTAGCATGAGGTCCTTGTGCAAGCTCTGAATAAAGAACCATAAAATAACCCCTTTCCTCTCAGGAATCACAAGGCAAGAGGGAAAACCCAGGACAGGACCCACAACTTAGTGATGCAATCCCAGGCTGCAGAGGGTAGCTTGACCAACTCCATCTATTCAGTTTGACGATGTCTAAAATATTCCCCTTTTCACCAAGCAGCTGTAGTGTGAGACTCCAGGAAAGCACTCCTGATGTGTAGGATCAACAGCTGCCTACTGGGAAAACAAAGGTATCTTCACCCTGACACACCCCAGATGCCAGTATCACTGTCATTGCACAGCCTGAGAGGCCTGTGCGAAAACAGCAGAGGTTTATCATTAGCCACACAGCAAGTAGAAGGGTTGACAATAAAACCATTGCTCATCACCTGGGGATACTCTTCCAATTGCAGCTTCCATGGGCACAAGGGGTGTTTCTTTGTGACCTGAGCCCTTCCTGGGGGAAAGCCTGGTATCAGAACAACTGAGAGCTGTGTAATACAATTTCTTCCTACAGTTTGCTGCTTTGGTCTCAAGATTAAGCCTGGAGACAGGAGGAAAAATGATCCTTATTTTCAAACTAGCTCTCTTCAGAGATCTGGTTCAATTTCCTACATAAAGATAAGGGCATTGAAGCCCAGAATGACTATTCCTCCCTATTACACACAGTGCCAATGCATTCATGCTAGAGAAATCATTAAAAGAAATCCCATCAAGTCCTGATTGTTCCACAAACGGTAGGGCTTTGGGGGTAAGAGAAGGGGAAGGGGGAGTCTTCCTATGAGGAGCAGAAGGAGATCCCGATTATTACCACTGTTCTTAATTAGGTCCTGCAACACCAAGTCTGTGTGACCATTCCAGTGATATCAAAATTTACTAAACAATTACCCTGTACTGCCTTATGATGTTGGGATAGATGCATTGGTGAACAAAACAGACAAGACCTCATCCTGGAGCTTGAGAGATGGCCCCACACCTAAAGTGTGCCATGCAAATAGGACCTATACCCAGCACACTGTAAAATTTAAATGCAGTGGTACACACCTGTAATCCCAGACCCAGAGAGGCAGGGATGACAGGATCTTTGGGCAGCTTCTCTAGCTGAATTTGTGAGCTCTGGGTTCAGTGAGATTCTCAAAAATAAGGTAGAATCCAGGAGCACACATGTGCACTTGCTCTCTCTCTCTTGTGCTCTCTCTCTCTCTCTCTCTCTCTCTCTCTCTCTCTCTCTCTGTCTCTGTCTCTGTCTGTCTCTGTCTGTCTCTCTGTCTCTGTCTCTGTCTCTGTCTCTGTCTCTCTCTCTCTCTCTCTCTCTCTCACACACACACACACACACACACACACACACACACACACACACACACACACACATCTCAGAGAAATTTCTGGAACAAAATAGGAGAATCTGCACAGCTTGCACACCTTCTGCTTAGGAATCCAGATGGCCTGTACTGATGCTTCTGTATTTGAATGCAGAAAAAAAATGTGTGCCCTTGCAATAAAGTATAGAATAAAGATGTTACCAAAGGTGCACAACTTCTGCCCACAATAAGAAAGTAAAGGGAGTAGGTGCCCACCTTCTCCCTATGCCAATCCCAACCAGTCTTCTGTAGTCCTTGGATCTAGGATGAAAACAAACCCTAGCTGTGCCTCTCTGTGACCTAAGAGGCTAACTTAAGGCCCCATGAGTGTGCCCTCAAAGCAAACCCTACCAATGGCTCATAGCTGGGAGCAAAGCAGTTTTCAACTAGTGCTGCTTGAGAAAGGCTGAGGACAGACACAGTATCCATCCCAGGACAACGTCCATGTCTTTACAAGGAATACCCTTTACATGAGTCCAGGGCTGAAGGAAGTAATTTCTCTATCTTACCCCTATTGGAAGTTGATGAAACAACAAGTCAAATTCAACCCCCACCTACCCCCCAGACATCACCTACATTTATTAAACAGGGAAGATGTAAGGGAATGAATGACAGGGTGAGATGCTTTCCCCTTGATACTTCTTTGAACAAGTCCTAGATATCATCCTTGATTTTTTTCTGTATTTGTCAGTTGTGCAAGGAAGGGAATAAAGGTTTACCAAATCAAAGGTCTACCTGAGAGTAGAAGCAGCCAGATAGAAAAAAATCTACTTAGGGTTGCAATCACTGTTTTCAATCAATGACTACTTTGTTACTCAAACCCCCTTCAGGAGCAGACTAGAAGGGTAAATTTGGATAGAGGTGGGGGAAGAGGGTTAAACAGAAGCCAATGGAGTCAGTTTTAAACCAGGCATATAAACTCACAAAGGTTTATACTTCAACATTTTCAGAACATTCTTCAATTTATTTTTCAAAAATAGGGGCCAGGGAGATGACTCAGTGAGTATGAGTGCTTACTCTACAACAATGAGGGACTCTGCTAGAATCACTACTACCCAACTAAGAAGTGGGGTACAGCTCCACACAGCTGTAAGCCCAGGATTTTAAGGAGGAGACAGCCAGGTCCCAAGATGTCTCTAGCTAGCTAGCCTAGCCAACATTGTGAAC